ATTACAATTCATACCTACTACTCATTCATGTATTGTTTGGGGATATATACACATTAAAATAAGCATGATAAAAACTAACACTATTAAAATTAGTAACACAATTTCTTTTTATTCCTAGCTGCAATAGGGATATTTTTATAAAGAGTTAATTTTCTTTATTATCAAATATAAGTAAAAACCAGATATAGAAATAATAATCAAAATCCTAGTAAGGTAAGATTATTTCAAAACTTTTATTTTATCTTTACCAATGTTTCAGCTTATTTAGCTTTGAAAACACCATTGCATATAATGTGATATAATATAATGTAATACATTAATTAAATGTATAGTTCAAGTACCGACTTTGCCATGAAAGCCCGCTAGGTGACTTAGGTCAGTCACACTCTCTCTCTCAGGACAACCCACTTCACAGGGTTGTTGTTGTGGGCAAAATAGGAAGAGGAAGGTATGTTGAATATGTTCTCTACCTTGAGTTATTTGTAAAAATATAAAAATGGGATACAAATAAATAAATAATAAAGAAATTACCATTTAGCACTCTGAAGAGAATTTTGCTAATTGTCCAATAGGAATATTAACTAAACCGGCTCAAGGTTGACTCAGCCTTCCACCCTTTCAAGGATGGTAAAATGAGAATCCAGATTGTTGGGGGCAATATGTTAACTCTGTAAACCGCTTAGAGCAGACATGTCAAACTCGCGACATCACGTGATGATGCGCAACGTATCAGATCTTTTTCTCCATTGCCGGCAGTAGGGTGGGCGTGGTTTCCTGGTGATGCGGCCAGCCCATGGGCCAGCAGTTTGACACCCCTGGCTTAGAGTGATGATTTAAGTGCTATTGCTATTTTCTTAAGCTACATTGTATAGTTGAATACCATGATTGATTAAACTGATTTTTAAGATAATCCACCTATTTCTTTAAATTCTTTTGACATGTTTATTCAAAATATATGTCTTTCAGAAAACATATGCCTTCTTTTGTAAATGATGCTATCTTGAATCTACAGGAATTTTCTATTTCCCCTAAAATAAACAATTATAAAACTATCTCTGTTGATTCGGTAATATAGATAAATTCCCATTACTTGCTCTGTTTTTAACATCTGACAGTTAGATAGACTTTTAAATAGTTCTGGAACCAACATTCAATATGTTACTTCAATGTTGTAATCGTATATGTTTTAAATTGTCTGTAGTAAAGGTGTTTCTCTGTGAACTGCTAACAAACTCCAAATTCTTGGAAGATTTTTACAAGCAAAATGAATCTAGCAGTTATCTTTATTCTAAAAAGCGAATAACATTTTATAACACAGATACTGTATATTACATTTCCAGACTGGGTTGGAACTGAATGAAGACTGAACCAATTAATAATAGCTTATCCCAAAAGGCATATATTTATGTCAGATCTTTGATATCTGTACAAATTAGGTTGTCATCTGTAAAACCAGGAACAAACCCCCAGAGTTTATTTTTAAACATAACATGCCAATGATGTTGCTTGAGCAGACTGTTATAAATCCAAATTAAATGTTCTTGAAAAATAAGCAGGATATAAAAAATGTAATATTCTAAATTTGTGTTACACAAATTTCAGAATGAGTTTTATGTTTACCCTATGTCTTCAATTTGGATTAAGCACAATTTTCAAAAGGGATCTGAAATGCTGATTTCATTAAGCCATGAAGACATTATAGTGTAATTTGAATCTTATATTCCTTTTTTTTCCACATTTTTTCATAGTGTTCAGATTTTTTAGTAACTTATTTGAAATTACATAAACGTTATTAAAACTGTTAATAGAAATTCAGATTTTACAAATGTTGTTCTCTGTCAAGGAAATACATGAATAATGTATGTAAGATTTAATGCCATTTTTTCAGTTTTTTTTTTCATTTTTCCTAAGTACATAATAGTACTGTCTTGTGATAATTTTCATATATTAGTCAGATGATTGTGTATCTACCGATTCCTGATCTGCATCCAGAAATTCAAATTTAATTCACAAAATTCTAAAGGAAGGAAGGAAGGAAGGAAGGAAGGAAGGAAGGAAGGAAGGAAGGAAGGAAGAAAGAAAGAAAGTGTGCACAGAGTTTTAAACTTTCAGTTCCTGCTGGATTACTGATGTCAATAACAGTGTGGGGTTGGATTACTAACTGCTTTTAAAGAGACACTTAAATTACACTTTGGTGGAAATATTTGACAAATTTGGGCTTTGACAAAAGTTGTCAGGACAGCAGGATATTGTAGGTAAAATTCTAGTTGCTTCTCTCTTTGATTAGTTTCCATCCATTGGTTCCTGAAGGCAATTAAGGAGAAATTTTCTGACAGTTAGAACAATTAATCAGTGGAACAACCTGCAACTAGAAGTTGTGAATGCTCCAACACTGGAAGTTTTTGAGACTGGACAGCCATTTGTCTGAAATGGTATAGGGTTCCTGCCTGAGCAGGGGGTTGAACTAGATGACCTTCCAACTTTATTATTATTATTATTATTATTAGTAGTAGTAGTAGTAGTAGTAGTAGTAGTAATAGTATAAATAAAAGCATATTGAATATCTTGTCACTTTTGCTACTATTATATTACTATATTACTCTCCTTGATGAAAAAAATGGGATGGTAATCAAAGCAAACAAGAGAATGTAACTAGATGCAAAAAATTACCGCAGGATCAGAATCTGGTTTTGTCTTTATATTTAATGGAGTCAGGGTTATTGGTTTCTGTACTGGGTTTTTTTCCTTGCAAGCTGCTTGGAATCACCAAGAGTGAGATGACAGCCATATACATTTTCTTAATAAAAATAAATTTTTAAAAATGCATAATTTTCCTGACTCATATCTGCAAGCGTGACACGTACATACAATGTCTGAAAATAGGATTCTTCCAGTAATATAAACATATAAGACAATATCTATCTGTCTTAATTTGTGCTGACATTTTAAATAAATTAATGCTTAAACAAAGTAGTTACTTTCAGTGAGACTGCCTTATCAAAACTTTACTTTTTCCTTACAATTAGTCTTTTTTGATGGCAGGAGATTTTAATATAAATCCCAGTGAGAAAAAAATTCAAAAAAATTCAAATCATGTGTCTTCATCTACCTTTGGATCCTGAAACTGAAAAATTTAAAAATATATATAATACTTATTCAAGCAAGTTCTGTAGCTTTTCCTATTCCCAATCTTCAGATTTCATTTTAAAATCTAACTGGAATGAACTACCATTTGTATAAATAGAATAATTTCTTAAATGTAAATTTAAGGCATGAGAATCTGATGCGTACTGGACTGCTCATATGGAAGTATGAATTTTATCAGTTTTTCTTTTCAAAGAGTCTCATTCTTGGATGGACAAATAGCAAATGGTAGAAGTTGAGCATTTGAATATATGCACTGGATAAAAGCATTCTTTAAATTTCTATATAATTACTTTCTTTCTTCAGTAATGATTCAAAAGCACGATTCCACTAGAGAAAAAAAAACCAATGGAAGTTGTTTTTATGATCTTTTCTCTTGGGAAATGTGGGAACCTTCAGCCTGCTGGAAATTTGATTTAAAGAAAAGATATCTACTCTTTAATAATCTAAACAAGTGCAAGAAAACTCAGGTCCTCTCTTAAAAACTTCCCACAAACTCTATTATCCTTTCAAATAATTTTTGAAATATTTTTATTTTACAAATAAGAATTGACACCAACAATGCTGGAGAACTTCTAGTGTCCTTAGCACTAGTTAAAAACTTCTTTCATGCCTATCCCATACATAATCTAGATTAAAAGCAAACTGAAATCACCCAACTTCATTTTAAGAACACAGACACAAACAGCAATATATTTTATATAAAATATAAGATCTGTGCTAAAATATAAGTTTATATATAAATAAATATACTGCATATCTAGATATCAAATATAAATTGTTTCTTTTTACATTAATTTTAAGGTTTAAATGATTCTATTTAAAATTTTTACTCCGTTTCACTGAAGATTAACAAAATAATAAGCTTCTTCATCTATGTTTTTGCAGAAACAGAACAAAAACAAAAAAGCATAATCACAATATTAAATAAGCTGCATCTATAAACTGGTGCATTAGCAGAAAATGCTCTGCACCACAGGGAATTAGAGTCCCAGGAAATATTTTTTGGAGATGAGCATCCTTAAGAAAAGGGGAAATGACTGATGTAATTTAATGCCAAATGACTGTTGGATTTAATGCCTCAAACAGGAAACAAATAAATACTTTAAAGAAAAAAATAGAAAAGAAAAAAAAATACTTGGTAAATAGGTCTAAAAGAAAAGTACATAAAAGGGGGAAAATATGTTCCAGAAACAGAGGTAGGAATTTTATTCTGGGATAATATTTATTTATTTGTTTGTTTGTTTATACATGCTTTTGAATACATTTTTGACTCCTGGCAACTAACTGGATAAGTCCTTGCAGTTTTCTTGGCACAGTTTTTCAGAAATGATTTACTATTGCCTCATTCCTTTGGCTGTGAGAAAGAGAGACTGACCAAAGGTTACTAAGTGGCTTTGTGCATTAGGTGGGATTAGAATGCCGGGTCTACTGGTTTCTAGCCTGGTGCCTTAAATACTCCAGCAAAAGGCTAAACTAATTTGTGTAACACTGCACAATATGCTCGTCTTTTCACCTGCTTTTAAAACCAAGAAGCTCAAGTATCACTCACTGAAAATTTTTAGTGCCTTAATTTCAGTGTTGAAATTAAAGGTCCCAAAGCATAGACTGGTCCGAACCTCTCTTCATTCATGGTTTTCTGAAACTGAATCCCCACTATACTACTTCTCAAGTATAGCAAATATAACAAGCAATGCTTTTGCTCTCTTTTTCAAGGCATGTAATAGTTTGGGTGTACTAGAGAGAAATATTTTGCTCATGATGGCCCAGCCTGTTTCTGGACCATTGCTTCCCTTACCGCCTGAAGTAGTAGTGTTCCTGTTGAAAAAAAGTTTAAATCATCATGTTACCATTACCTTGGCAGGCGTAGCCTCTTTCTTCATAGCCGGCATTACACAAGCACTTCCCTATGGGTACTAGCCATTCTCCTTCGGTACTGCAGTACATCTTGGGTGGGTCTTCCTCTTTGGAATGATTAACACAAGAGCCTCGCACTTCCACCAGTGACTGGGAATCCATAGGTATTGTATCTGGAAACATGGCCAGGTTCTTTATAGTAAAAGGGCATTTTTTGAAGTACACTCGCACTGACACTAAGGCCACACATGCACCCACATCTTGAAAAGCCAAATAAAATCCTTTCCTGCTCACAGGTCCTACTTCACGAACTTCTGTATTGAGCTTAAGAATCCGATCCCCAAGATCCATCTGAGTGAAGCTCTCATCGGCAGCAATGGTATCAATCTTTGTAAACTGGTGTTCTCTGAACTTGACAGAATGGTCATCATCAGATTCCATATAATACAAATTAAAAGTTTCCTTACAGGTGCCCAGAACCAAAGGGATACTGTTACAATCCCTCAGAGTAAATTTGAGTTCCACATAAATTTTCTGAGCAGAATTTCGTGGTATCCAATTTGTCCTTAACCAATTGTTTTGACTGTGGTCCATGACATTGCAGACTTGGTAAGTTCTGATTGGAGTATAGTTCTCATCAACACCACTTATTTCTTCCCACTGAAAAGAAGCATAAAAATAAATTAGCTAAACAAAAAAGTGTATGTAGTCATTAATAATCAGACAAATCACAAAATGGTCATTTCTTGAAAGATTATCACCAAAGAAAAGTCTTATAATTTCAGAAGCACAATGACATTGTGTAACAATGTATTTATTACAAATTCATAAACCTTTTACCCATTTTTTCATTTAAAACTTATGAGTCGGCAAAAAAATAGTCAATTTTTCCAAGAAGACTTTAACATTAAAATAATCTGAGGCCCAACTCTCTTTTATGTCGCTATTTTGAGGGCATTGTAATATATATATATAAAGTATACAATATTCAAAGTCCTTAATTTATTGTTGCTTTGCTCTTGTCCAGTTTTTACAGCAAAGTGTAAACACTTCCCTTCCAATGACAAAGAAAATGGATATACCACAACAAAGGAGGCATAATAAAGCTGAACTAAAAATTTTCACAACAGAGTGGATGGAAAAGAAAAAAAACAAAGCAAAAAAATAGAGTTCTTTTAGAAAAACTAATAAAATGCAAAATCTTAAAAATAACAATCCACCATAGATCAGATTGAGTCCCTTTCACTACAAAGAAGAAAAAGAAAAAGAAAAGAAAAAGAAGCCACACACCTCTGGCTTTCTTGTGACAAAAGAGAAATTATTATAAACCACTGAAATAAAACAAATAAAAGTTTACAATTGTAAGCAAGCAAAGGGGCATGAAGCAAGTCAGCATTCAGCCAGACTATTAACAATTAGGCTTTTAAAAGTGATGTTAAAAACAGAAGGCACCACCTAAAAATACAAGCAGCTGCAAAAAAAAAAGATGGTGACCCAGCCACTCCAGCTGCTTTTACCAAGAACTGGAACCATCCCCAATCAAGTCTGTGGGTCTCCAAAGGTTATCATGGGTCATTCCTACTTACTCTAGTTCAAATCTGGGAAGCAAGCTGCCAAAGAACCAGCTTTGGCAGCAAAAACAGCTCCTTGTTGGCATAGAGGAAAAACAAAGTCCTACCTTTAGAGCACCATTTTCTAGGACTTCGCCATTTTATGGGACCCAAGAAATGGTTAACCTTGAAAGTTGGTTTATTAAGCAGGAAAAAGAAACAAAAAACACTTAATCTTTACTTGTGGTTGCTTTGATAATTCTGAACCATGTCAATTAATTCTAAAATATGTTTATAATGCAAATTTCCATTTTTAAATTTGGAAAGCTTCGACATGTGAAGGATTATTATTTTTACTATTGTAATTAAAAGAATATAATTCAGCATTCCTCAAACATTCTTAAACTTTAATCATAATAAAAAATATTCATTATTCCTGGTAAGTTTACTCACAAGTGAATTGCACTTTTGATCATAATGTATGTAATGTTCAGTTTCCAACATTTGGTAAAATAATATGCTGCCTGCTATTCAAATAAAACATTAAAGTATATTCTAAACACTTACAGAAAATATATTATATAAACAATTACAGAATGAAATACTCAACTATCTTGTCATATAGACAGTGCTTTTTTTGTAAAAAAAAAAAAAAGGTGCCGGAACTCACACGTCATACAACCAGTCTTGCCTACCCTACAAGGTTCCATCCAAAAAAGATGCCAGAACTCCATTCTGGGCATTCTGTGACAAAAAAAGCCCTGCATATAGGTATCTTGGGAGACACATAAGTGATTAGCAAAATGATATAACATAATTATCTATTTTTAAAACTTTAAAATTATGAAAAACTTCACCAGTGTATACTGAATAAATTAATCTCAGAAATTTTAATTTGATTAGTCCAATTATGGATTGTGACTTTCACAATAATCTTAGAAAAGAATGCCAGTTTTATCTAATCCAATGTTAGTTCTCTTGATTTCTAGTTTTATTCTCAGAAAGGTGGGTAAAAAACACAAACATTTGATTCTTTGATTAGGTGTCATCAAGTAAATGTTAATTCTTTTGTACCTCACAATGTCCCTGTTTTTTTTTTTTAAAAAAAAAAATAGTTTACAAAGTGCAGCTAAAGGAAGACAAAATAACCAGGAAGATTTTGTTTAAGATGCATGGACAGGCAATTTTGACTTGTTGCTTGTCCAATAGGTCTAAAGTCAGAAAAATAATTTTATATGCTGCAACAAGTTTGACTGACAGCATCTTGCATTTTATTTCCAAAGCCAATTTATGCTTTTGACTAATATTGATTTAGCATAGAGTTGTATCCATTTTAAATTGCATAAGACATACTACAGGATTTTTGGCATAAAAGCTACAAGATCAATCTATCCATACGTTCCTATTGTGAAAATGATTTACTGAGAAAAAATTAAAACATTCTCAAGCAAGTGGTAACTATTTACTAACCATTTTCATCTTTCTTGAGAGATTTAATATTTTTTTAGTTTAATTAATCTTGGTTAGTATCTATTGATCTAAAAAATCGTTTGGACATTGTACAATGTATATATGTTATACCACAATTCATAATTGGACTAATCAAATTAAAATTTCTGATTTATTTATTCATTATACACTGTTCAAGCTTTTTTAAAATTTTAACCTTTGAAAAAGTAGCAAAATAAACAATGTAATGATCAATAGTATTCTTTTCCTAATAAATCTCTTATTATTGATTTTGTCTGTGATGCAAGATTGAGATTTATATTGGTTTAATAATTTGACACAGCTGACAAATATTTGCAAAATTTAAGCAATCTTTACTCAGTTTTATAACTATTAATGAGCTTGTAATTATAAGGCTAATGTTGAGTTAAGATCCAATCTGGGTGAGTCACCAGGACCAGAGACTTAGCCCTCCAAGCTTTCGGACCCGTGCTGGAGCCCCCCTGAGGGAACTTCTCTCTAGCAGTGTGACTTACAACCTTCTTGTTATACGGAAACATTGATTCATTAATAATAGGCTTTTTATGAAACTTCATATCCCAGTGGCATTTTCAATCCCATTGCCTCCTGGTACAAAATGAATAATATTTTATCAATTGGGCTGATGTACTTGAAAGAAAATAATGTTTAAATGTCTCTCTGTTCAACTATTTTTTAATCATTGCTTGACTAAATTCTTAAAGAATCTCAAACTATTCCTCAAGTATTCCTGGATAAATGGATAAATGGATTTCAAGTGATTAAAAGTGAGCTCTAAAATTTGGAACTAATTTTGAGATTCTATGTTATGTAAGGTATAGTCAATGTTTGGGTATTGTGTTTTCAGATGTCATTCATGTGTCTCTACCTCTTGGTTTGAGAGCTTAAGGATGATAGACTGTATATACTGTTCTAATAGTTTCTATATTTCCCTTCCTGAAAACCACTGAGTGCCAATACCTGGATATATAGAAACATGTTTGTGGAACTTCCAGTATAAAATTTAAAATACATAGAATACTATCTGGCTATCTATGTTTGATGACTCTAACAAGGATAAAATCAATCATGTGGTGCCTCTTGGTAATGCATTAAGCGAAAAAAAATCTCACATATACTAACTAAAAATTTTACAGCCCCCTCCACTTCAACAGTGGAGATGGCATGACAAAATGTTATATGACATCATTTGTATATTTCTCTGCTCTGAAAGTTTACAAGAAAGTGGATTTTATTCCATTATCATAGCTTCTTATGCAGGAATTCTTTATAAGAACTTTAGATTAACTCATAACTATTACCCATTTCCTAAGACTAGTGCACAATATTCTTTGATAAAATAAACCACACAACAATCTTATTTTGATTAAATTATTATTTTTATGAAGTGTTTTTCTGATATGTATTTATATTTATTGATAAGATGACATATTGCAAATTAATCTATATACTTCTTGCTGAATCCAATGTTCTTTTATATGGTGTTTTTGCCTGCAACTTGTCAATATTTTTCTTTTTGTTTTTCTGCAGAATTTTATATTTGCACATTTTAATGGGCATAAAACTGTAGAAATAAACTAAACAAATCTAAAATGGTAGCAATGTCCATTTATCACTTCAAAATCTATTTTATAAATTATAGAAATTACATACAATTATAAAATTATCTGAATAAGGGGAAGGAGAATAAAGAAGATCAGCTATTTTATCAACAGCTATTTTGTGTACAACTGCTCAATTTATACATGATGAAAGAAGACTCAAAAACAGCTTATCTATAAAAATGAAAGCTAAATTTAATATACAGTATGGGATATAACTAATGAAAATAATTTCAAGCTTTGTTTGATGTTGTTATATCATGTTGATCATCACTTTGCTTTGAGTTACAGGTTCTTATGCTACTCATAATTGATATTTAACATTTAATGGAATATATATATATGCATATATATGCCACAACTTTATTCATCCTCCAGTATGTTTATATTTAAAGTGCAAGGAAGTATAAGTGGTTAGCTCAGCATTCAACTGATTGGAAGTAATGTTATACATATGAAGACAGAAATAGCTTTTTAACCAAGGGCATACAGTTGCTTTAGTAAAAGAAAGACACATTTGATTGAAGTATGGAGAAAAGATAATTGAATGTGTCAGTGTGTTGGAAGAGGCAGTCTAACAAGAAATTCTTTTGTATAGCCATGACTAAAATGAATGGAATCACTAAACTTTTACCTAATAACATAATGAGGAAATGGATTCCCAGGAGGTAAAGTAGTGATAAGCCTGAATAAGTAAAAATGACAGCGTATTTTTTTTCTACTAGAATACCTGGTAATGTATTTAGCATGTGATCATATCACATGCTAAATTGTCACAGGCAATTTATACATACTCAAAAGGAGAAAAAAAAGTAGCAAAATTTGGTGCTACTTCCTGAAAACAATTTTTGCCCACAATGTAAGCTTTCCAAAAAGGTAACTGGAGCATAAAGTAGCTAAAACAAAAAGCTGTTTCTCATCATTGTTATCTTATATTAGCAATTTTATATCTTGTGCAGAATAGATTGCTATATGAATTTGATGGCTATGTAAGTTCCTTAAATAAGCAAATAAATTCTGA